AACTGGGAATGTCTACATAGCACTTACTTTGAAATAGAGCACTCTTCCTCTGACTTCCCTTACTCCTTATACAATGAGGGTTACAGGAGTTGGACTAAGAAGTCCTCCAGCTTGACAGTATTTCACTATTATTGCGAAATAGCTGTCTGCTGTGTAGATGCAGACTAAGTTATTTCATAATAATATTGCTGTGTAGACATATCCTTTGTGAGCTACAATCTTGTATATAATGTTTCCTGTGGGCTTGAAGAATGGGACCCTGAAGAAGAGTGGGGTAATGGTGCAGGATGTTGTGTGGTGTTTGCCACTTTTCTAAGGAGCTGTAGTTTTAACTTTGTTGAAGCTCTTGCTCTGGATGACTGAAAGACCCTTGTACATGCTTCAATCCCTCTTGTCTGATCACTGTAATCTAAACAGCATAGACAAATAATTGTTCACTGCTGGAGAAAGTGGACATTTTGAGGGCTCTTGGGCTTGACAGTGTCAAGGTGAGACAATAAAGGGGCAAGAACTGATGAAAGTGTGCAAGTGTGAAAATGTTCACGATGAAACCTAATGCTTCCTAAGGGGGTTGGTTGAAATTTTGTCACAAATTCTGTGTTCCGACCACATGCTATGAAATTTTCAAATGCTGCTATGCAAACCTTTCACCCTAACCAGGCTCAGATCTGATCATGCCTGGTCTGTTTTCTGCACTGTTGTCATGTAAAATGAATGGTTCTTTATGGTTGCAGTGGAAAAGCAGATGAAATGAGGAGTTAGTGACTAGAATTTCATTTGAAGTCTAAAAGTAATTTGAACCCCAAATTCTGGGCATGCTAACCTCTTACAGAGAGAGACTGAAGAACATAATCTCACAAACCTCTGCAAAGTGAAAACTTGATTTTTACCCATTTCTAGATTGCCTGATTTGGGCAAATAATGGCAAAGTATTTTGTGTGTTAACTTTTGACTCTTCATTTTTCTTGCATTCATTCTAATGTTAGGTCTTGATTTTGCACAGAGCAGATATGGATTGTTGTGTACATAAACTCAAGGTAAATGGTGATAAAGTAGAACAAAGAATGTAAGGGAACTTCACCTTGTATGAGAAACCTGGTTGGGATCACCAAGACGCTCCTTCAGATTAGCAAGAAAATACCCACGAGGAGAATGCAAAAATGAATCTTACTAGATTAACATGATGAGGACTCCACTCGTCTATTTTGGCACAGGCAGGACAATTCTCTATTTATACTCTGTCCCTGTTTTCACTCTATGAAGTTGTGAGTAAGGGAGCAAGTAAACAAAGGGGCATGAGATTTATTACAGCTCTGATATGCCTAATGCTTAATTTTACTGGTACCCACACACGGTTCTCACAACAGTGACAACAATAACCTTGTGTATCCAACCAGGGGCAGATGACTGTTTTGCGGGGCCCCGAGCAGCATAATTCCGCGGCCCCCCGCCCCCTTTGCCACGGCGCATGCGCGGGGCTTTCTGAAGCACGGGGCCTGGGGCGGCCGCCCCATTCGCCCTGCCCTATATCCGCCTCTGGATCCAACAAAGACTTACAGAGGAAGGCCTGAAACTTATCTTCCATTGGATGGCAAAATTTAGTTATTCATTAAACAGTGTTGACATAGGTGCTGCTGGTGCAAGTAGCACAAGAACTACATCAGCAACTGTTGAAATTATGCTTTTATACTACAATGCACTTTCTTGCACCAAAATGTTTTCTTTTTCTGCCACAGGGCCCTGATTACATAAGCTGTAGAGTTCTTTCTCAACTTCCTCTTTCTCAAATCACTGCTCACATTAATACTAGCACTGCTCAGTGGAAAATGCCAAAAGGCTGACTTTTAGTTTGAGAGCACTAAACCTAAAGTATTGGATGAAGTGTAACAGTAAGAGGATTTGGCTAATAGCACTGCATATCCTGCTTATTTGTAATTAGTGTTGCACTACATAATATTCTACCTGGTTCTTGTCTATAAAGCTACACCAACTGATGTGCCATAAGACTTAAAGGGAAACAAAGATACTTTTGCGGTTTTAGATGCAAGTCTGGGATTCAGCTTTGGGTATTTTTTTCTGGTTATACTGCTTAATTCTTATGAGATGTTAGGTTGGTCTCTTGGAGACTAATCCAACTTGCAGGGAAGTCCATGGAAGGCTTCTATTGATTTCAAGGGAAGCTGGATCAGGACTTTAACCTCTTTTCAATACTTGAGTTACCCCATCCATATCATCAGGATAATAAGCATGTATCTTATAAATGTGGTGTTGTGACGTTCTTTAAGTGGGACTGCACCTTGAGAGAATTAAAAAAATGGAGATAGTACCCAGTGCTGTGATCGTCTTAGTAAACAGAATTTCATGCTGAGAGTACCTTGTGCTTATTCAGGATCTGCACATGCTTCCAGTAGATTTTCAGAAGGATTTTAATGGGTTGCTTTTAGCCTATAAAGTTCTGAATGTTTAAGGGCACGGTTATCCGTCTAAATAGGAGGGCATTATGTATTTTGCTAACTTCATTGTTTCTGCAATCAATGGAGCTGTTTGGATGTAAAGTGGTATGGTGGTGTAAGATATTGCTTTTATTGCACCACAAATAGACTGAAAGGAGATAAATACAGAAACCATGTTTTTTAGAGAAGGTAGATGTAATTATCCCCCTGTCACTATCCACAGGCCTAAGCAATAATGGTCTTTTTGCTATCCGCTTTCTCTAATTATATTTGCTATTGAGACTTAATAGTGTTGCTATTTTATTCTGCGATAAATTACAGTTTCACTAAGTCATTAGGGCTGGCACCCACAGCTATAAGATTATTGATTTTTGTGTTAACAAGCAGAAAATGCTAATCGATTGCATAAAATGGTTTAATGGTTATTGGTTTCTTTTATGATGGTTGCATTGCTTTCAGTAGGAAAATACTGACCACTGGGTATAGTTTTAAATAAGGTATTAATCTATATTTCCCCTTTCACTTCTCTCTGAGGAGGTCTGAGGGAAGTTGCCCCATTACTGATTCTTGGAAAAAGCCAGAAATAGTGTAATTAATTTAGCAGTAGAGGAACTATTATTACATGATCAAGTAGCTGCAATGCACAATGAAAAGCATGCCAATAAAATGAAAGCCTTACTCTATAGGAAGAGGCTCATATTTTATACAGGTAACACATACAAAATTCAGGAGCTCAATTGTTTCAAGGTGGAAACTAATACACCTCAATGATCTTCAAACAATGGTTGTACTATGTACGCTAAAGTCTGCAATTTCTACTGCAAGGTTCCATAAAGATCTTTGACCTTTAATATAGCATATCCCATAAATCAATAAGGTTTAAATACTGCTGCTCTCTTGAACACCTGCTTATCTGTCTTGAGAAAATTGTGTAGTGTTTTAACCGTCATTTTATGACACTAAAGGTAATGTCTGCTCTGGAAGCACTTGGAAGAGCCATTAAAGTTAAGGATCTATCAGCATTTCCATTAGAAAGCCTGATTTCAAGCGGTTTATAACTCAGTTGTTTAAAAATGCAGTAGGCTGAAACTTGGTATACTGCGCGGGTTTTTTTCTTTCACGTTAGACAAATTGTTTCAGATGCTTTTCTCTCCCCAAAGTCATAGATGTAAATATTTTCATCCATCAAAAATGTTTGATTTTTACAGGCCAGTAGTCTTGCATGTGTATGTGATTCCTCTTCCACATTCATATTCAAAAAATGACTTTGGTAGGAGTGAACTATATACATTGGAAAGATAACTGAGCACATGAACTAATTGCTTGCTACATCATGTTTTAATATATGTATTCTGAGATGCAGAGATAATTTTAAAAAAATCTTCATATTAAGGTACTCTTATTTCTTCAGATTTTTCACAATGACGTCTATCTAGGTGCTTCATTAAAGGCAATGATCAACACAAATAGTTATGATTTTATAATGATTTTACTTAAATTATAGCATTACCACTTGTCTTTTAAGTAATCATCTTATAACAACTCCTTCTCTCAGCATTTAACCCAGTTCATCAACCCTTCCATCCCTGATATGTTAGAGATGGGCTTTGCAGCTTAGCAGATTTGGGTACATTGGGGAGCCGAGGGGTGTTTGCAGAGAAGCTAGTCCCCTCATGGGTTTGAATTATGACATGAAAACAGAATGCTGTGGAAACTGTGCTCTCTCCTATTTTGATTGATAACCATGGTAACCATACCCATAAACATTCAGAACATTACAGGTTAAAAGCATCCCTTTGAAATCCTTCTGAAAACCTGCCAGAAGCATGTGCAGATCCAGGGTAAGTACAACGTGCTCTCAGCATGAATTTTTGTTTAGTGAGGAGTCTAAGGCACTGTGTACCATCTCCCCCATTTTTTTGAATTTTCTCAAGGTACAGCATCACTAAAAGGGCATTACAGCAAACAAGTGGTTTTGTATGGCAATGGCTTAGCTGAAGCTACAAGGAAAAACGGGTATCTTTTTGTATTGTATTAGTTGTGTTTCTGATTTATGCTTTCATTTTTGTGTAGAATGGCTCAGCTCCACAAAAAGACTTAGGTAGCTAAACCCCAGATTTAAGCACTACAGTGCACTGAGATCCACAAAACAGATGCCTAGCTTTCATCTAAGTCTGTAGGTGCCTACATGTCTGCTGGAAAACTTCTCTAGGCACTTAGATTTCTGCATTTGGACCTGCATGCTGTTGCCTCAGACAGATACCTGGATCCCTACTCCTATGTAATCCCCGGGGAGATCCTCAAACCAGGAGAAGATAAGCATTGCCCTGCCGACCATCTCTGGGGCATGATCTGGGAGGTGTAGAGCACACCTAAGTCCACATAAAACCAGGAGCCTGGGTCCCTTTGTGGATTTTGTCCTACATGTTTACAACTCTAGCAACTCTGCTCTATGTAAAAATAGGCAACTATTGTGTGTTTATATTGTTCTAGAAGTAACACACTGTGTGTTCTCCCATTAACTCCCCTCCCCACTTGCTCTCATAGATTAAAATCTGGGTAATTCTGACTACATATATGCGTTAGATGTTTGTGTATGGAGCTGGATTGCACCTGGAATACATAAGGTATTTTGCATTTACATTCTCATAATGAATGACAAAGCTTGTACACAAAAGTAAAACAAGAGGCTAGTTCTTTCCTGAAAGAAAATCTTTATCTGTGTTCAACTGATTTTTATCAATTGTCTATTAGGTCAATGCCAACCCCAGCTTTGGCTAATTTAAAGAAGCATTCAACAGTGACTGAGGTGGTGTGGGTGGAATAGCAGAAGCTTGGTTTTATTTTTCTTCAGGCAGAAGCTCTGAGTAAGAAAGAGGTAATACTTCATAACTCTGTGCACAGAAGTTAAATGTGCTGGGGAAAACTAACTCTTGGCTTGCTTTTAGGTCAACGAATGCTTTTATTCTTTGAGAATTTTATCTCCCCTTTTTTCTGGATTATTTTTCAAGTCTAGCCCAGTCAGCCAGCCAGTGATGGAGAGCACCTCTACTGTTACAGCATCTTCCTTTGGCTACACAAGTGGTGAGTTGTAACTGCTGCTTCTGATTGGCTAAGAAAAGCTCATATTGTGTAGTTTAGCTCCCTTACCTGCTTCTCCCCTCACTCAAAGCCCTTCGCTTTTCCCATCTATCCTCTTTGGAGCAAGAACTGCCACTTCTTTATTATGTGTTTTTACAGTGCCTTGTACAATGGGACCCTGACCTAGCTGGCTGCTAAACTCTACCACAATATCGGGGCTAATAATTGGATGTCTACCTTTCTTCTGTGTGACTGTAATTTGTGTACTATCTAAAAGCACTGCTGCTTTGGGTATACACATCCTGATGGTAGGACAGTATCTTGGTTTGTCTATGTAAAAAAAACTTTGTTTCTATTAGTTTCTCCATGATTTGTTTCTATACTCTGATAACCTATAATCTGTTCTGCTGCTGTGGAATGGCATGTTTGGATGTGGAATGTCCAAGCTAATGAATCAAATTGTCAGGTCAAGGTCCTGGTATATAAAGTTGGGATGAGGGGCTCATATTCTGTCTGTAATGCACCATCTATGCCCATGGTGCCTTGTGTGTATGTGTATATGTACAGTATAGTAATGTAAAAAAAAAAAAGTAATAGAGGGATAGACCACCTGATTTATTTTTTTTTGGAAGCTCCACTTTGCAGCATTCTCAAAGGAAATCTAGTGTTTCAACACAAGTCACTGGAAAACTAAATATTCTATAAGTCTTGCTTCTCATCATGTTTAACAGTTAGCATGTACTGCTGAACTTTCCTGTGTGCATTTTCATAAAGGGGATAAAAAGTACCATTGCTCTCAGAAATTAAAATGATGTAATGATTATTCTGTGTTCTGAGTATGTTAGTTGGGAAAATGTACGTCATTTCCTTCGTTATTCAGAAAGGATAAACTGTTCTGGGAATAAATATACACAAAGAATTACATTCAGAACTGTATCTAACTACCACCACCATCTGGTAAATTTTTACTTGCTTTTTTCCTGTTAGTCCCAGGATAGCACACCACCATTCCAAAGAGGGTACTTTGATCACAGTGCTGACTAACATTTCCCATTACATCCAAGATCACATATGGATCTTATATGGCAGGGGGAGGAAACCCAATACACTTAACAATTCTCTCATCTTCTTTCTCATGACTCTCTCAGCTTTTAATTTGTGAGTGGTTTTAGTGCTAATGAAAATGAGGGGTTGATTGTTGGTTGATAGATTAATGTGTTTGAGCTGAAATAGTGTGATCTTTATGAGCTGATCTTGCCAGATACTGATTTCGGTGGAAATTAGACATCACGGAGGCTCAGACACCCAGTAATGAATAAGCCATCACTATGAACATTGGAAATGTTGTGACTTCTTAGTAGTTTAGTAACCTGAATTAAATTTTAATAATTAGAATTTGGTTCCACCATCAAGACAATGCTCACATAACACAGTATAATTACATTAGGTATACAAGAACTGAACTGTTGTCTGGTTGCTAGATACCATCACTTTAAAGGAGGGTAAATTGGAAGACAAGGAATTAACCTGGGGAAGTTTGTGCATAGTATCTCTCTTTTTTTAGTTAATCTCATTGAATAATAACTAGATACTTATTTATTGTTATCAGCACACTTTACAAATAAGGTCAGTATCATTATCCCCATTTTGCTTAGGTGGGAACTGAGATGCTTGGTAGTGAAGTGGTTTGCCTAATGTCATTCAGTAAGCTAGTTTCAGATTTGGGAATAAAACCTAGATCTTCTAAGTCTCAGTTTAGTGCTCTAACCCATACACCATGCTTTCCACAATAGCCTCTTTCCCAGGTGCAAAATTTCAATTTAAACATTTTTCAAATATTTTATATTTCATGAGCCTATGTAGGAACTGCTTTTTACACACACTTAATCTTTTTCTCTCTGTGGCCCAACACTCTGGGTGATCATTTCCCCTTGCTGAGCATTTCTTTTGTATTTGTAAATGCCATTTTCAGATTTTAATATGTCAACCATTTTTGTTCACAGCTGGTAGAAATATAGAGTACAGAAGTAGCTTAGCTGCAATCAGAGTTATTCACAAAAACTGTCTTAATCCTTAAAGTAGTTTGTAGATTGGCAATGAAACCATGCATTTCTCAGCTTTTGGGAGGGTTTCTTTCCAAGCGCTTCAATAAAAATTCAGGTTGATAATCCTCAACGGTTGTTGTGTAGAAGCCCTTTTGGTGTTTTGAAGCAGTGAATGAGGTTTTTTTATTGCTTTTGCATTATCGTTTTGAAATATTACAAATAGGTTCCAGATGCAGAATTCTGAATCAGAATTTAATTCCCCATTCACTCTAAAGTTGAGTGCTGTGCTGATCTGGGTCTTTAGTTTGGCCTTTTATAAAATAGGGTTTGTTTTCAAAATTTGGACTTGAGGTTTGTTTTTAAAGTCCTCTGAATTCCAAGGGAGATTGTAACTGGCATTTTAGTTCGGGCCAGTCTCTAGTATTAGATTTGACATTAATTTCACTGCCCATTTTAACAGCACTTGAAATGAGAATAGTATGCAATAGTATTTCATGATATGAGAAATATATTTTGGTAAACATATGTTTATTGCATACAATAAGATGAAACCCATTGTTCTATGGCCATTTTAAAAAAATGATTATTCGAGAGTCCACTGATCAGTTATCTCCTTTCAGTGGGCTGTTGGAAATAACTGGTGATCTCAACACATACCGTAATAGCCTGATAACTATATCACAATCTTCCCTCTCTCTGTAATAGATATTTGACTTTATTTTTGGGAGCCTCAAACAAGAGAGCAAGGAATCAATAAGAAACTTGCCCCATCTCAAATGTATGTGGGTATCTAGCTTCCATTGAAATCAACAGGTGCTAGGTGACTTTGAGGCTAGGGCCCTTGATGGTTAGATACCTAGATAAGTGCTTTAAAAATGCCTAATAGATTGATCTCTGCCTATTAAAATCTACAGACATTGTCTGAGTCCTGAAAGTAGCACCATGACTGATGCTCATGATGAATTCTAGGACCACCTGTTCTTATAGCTCTAATTATGTAGTTCATGGCTGTTGGGCTTAGTAAGGGGCACATTTTGAAACAAATGTAGAAGTAAATCTTAATTTCAAATCCAGGGAATTTAGATCTGACTTCAGAGTGATTCTTTAATAGAAGAGGGTTAAGAAAGTAAAAATAAAAAGTGGGTCTGGCCCACGAAAGCTCATCATCTAATAAACCACCTTGTTAGTCTTTAAAGTGCTACATGGTCCTGTATTTTGTTTCACTTACTCTGCTCCTAACTCAGTTTTGAGTTGCTAGTCTTGCAGCTTAAATGGCGTCTAGTTATAGGCTGGGAGTAGGTAATTTTATATGAAGGGAAATAACTAGTGTTCCTTTCATAAAGGCAAGGAACTGCAGTCTGGAGGGCATTTGGCACTTTCAGGGTACATCTACACATCAGAGTTATTTTAAAATAACCGATGTAGTGCGTGGCTATACTACAAGTCTTTATTTTGAAATAATGTCGAGCTGGAGGACGACTTACTCCAATTCATGCTAAACCTCATTTCATGAGGCATAAGGGAAGTCAAAGGAAGAGTGTTTCAGTTTATGCTATTTCAGTTTAAGCTACGCAATTGACGTAGCTGAAGTTAGGTATCTTAATTTGACTTTAGCCCTGCTGTATAGACGTACCCTCAGTGATTTAACAAATTATTCAGGAAGAGTAGACTGAGGAAAGGAATCCTTTTGTGTCTGACATTTCCTTTTCTGTGTCCATAAACAATTGCCCCAGTTGGTTTTTTTTGGTTATGTTAAAATTTAATTTAAAAATGGAATTTTGGGTGAAATGGTTACTTTCCTGCTAATACATCCTAAGAGCTGCAAAATCTAGAAAGGGGTCAAATTGCCCTTCTTTTGGAGGACTGCTCTGTTCTTAAGTCTAGATTGCCTTGTTTTGGTGGGTAACTCAATCCCATCTCTACTGATGTTATGATTGTATTGCTATAATATGTTATAATGCAAACCTGAGGGAGCTTGTATCATTGTCTCAATATTCAGTCATCCCGCGTCAGCCTTTTCGAAGTTTGCTGATAAAATGTCAGTACTTTGGGGAGAGCATCAGTGTTTCTAAAATTCCATCCCATTTTCTTGTTTGAATGAATGTACTATTGTGTCCCTTCCCCCTGGTAAATATAAACTTTCCAAGCCATATTGCCTAAATATACATGTATCAAATGATCAAGCCGTAGAAGCCTGGACACACTGCAGATATTTTCTGCATATCCCATGACAATCTGCCAGCCAGTTATCATGAGCTTTTAATACTGTAGCATACTCAGGCTGTGTTATATTAAATTTCCTTTCTATGCTGAATGTGTCTTACAGCCTATTGCATCTGGTACACTGTGATTTTTTTTAAACCCTCCTTTAGGGAGTTTGGATTTAAAATGATCTCTTTGCCACATATTACGGAAAAGCACACATCATTCTTGAGTGAGGAAACCTTTTGTGTTCAAAGGCTTTATTAATCACAACCATCTCTCAGCAGTATGAAAACTGAAGGATTTATGGGAGTCATTCTTTAACTGTGTTTGAAATGACTACCGCATGTTTATCTGAAATAACTCAGTCTTAATATTTTCTTGCCTTTGTATACATTCAGGTTTGAATTAGCTTGTTTATAGGAAGTCTTCAGATCCTTTTTGTTGAAACTTTGGACCCAATCCTTCAACCCTTCCTCAAGTGAAAACCCTTCTTTAAGAGAGTAGTCCCTCTGAAATAAATGAAACTATGTGTGGTTGCCAAGGTTGCAAGATCAGGTTTTATCTGAGCTAGGCTTCAGCCTTTTTCTTCCTCAGCTATATGTTTTGTTCAGAGCGCCAACAAAGACATTCAGATGACGATAACATACTGTAAAGAAGAGCCTGTCTCAATATTTTTGTCTTGTATCATGAGCCAGAGAGACAGCTGTTTTCTCTCCTACTGTAAAGAAGTAGATGCATATTAAACTGGTTTCT